CGCCCGGCAGGGCGGAGGGAAGGGCTGGGGGCGTGGCCTAAGGCTCGGGGGCCGGCGGCGGCGGCAGCAGGGAGCTGGGAAGCGAGAAGCCGGGAGCGCGGGGCTCAGTCGGGGGGCGGCGGCGGCGGCGGCGGCGGCTCCGGGGATGGCGGCGGCTCCGCTGCTCCTGCTGCTGCTGCTTGTGCCGGTGCCGCTGCTGCCGCTGCTGGCCCAGGGGCCCGGGGGGGCGCTGGGAAACCGGCATGCGGTGTACTGGAACAGCTCCAACCAGCAGTGAGTCGGGGGCCAGGGAGCCGTGCGTCCCGCGTCAGCGAGGGGGGAGCTGGTGGGCCCGGGAAGTCCTGGGGGAACCTGGGGTGGGAGTCCTGGGAGGGCACAGCTGGGGGCTGGGAGGCGACGGAGAGGGGGACACACTCTATGGGCGTCTGCGAAACTCAGGGAGGGGGTCTGAAAGAGGCTGTGGAGGTATAGTAAGGAGGGCTTGGGCCGTGCGGAGGAGGCTGCTCAGCGACCCCGCACCCCACCTTGGCTTCTCTCCACACCTGCCGCTGGAATCGCGTACCCCTATCCCACGATGCCCCCCATCTTCACCCCCTTCGGCCGGGCTGAGGTTTGGGAGTATCAGCGTGCTAGGGATAGGCCGCCGGCACTTGGGGGGCCCAGGGATGACCTGTTTTCAGTGGTGAGGGTTTGAAGGGGTTCTGTCTCCGACTCCTGCTTTTAAAAGTGGGGTCCAGAGCTGAGGCAGGGAGTCTGACTGAGTAGCTCCTCAAACGAAGGCAAAAGGGTGCCCTGGTTGTGTGGATAAGCCCGGCTGGGGTGAGCTGGGACTAGGTCGCCGAGTTAGGGGGCCCCCGGAGGTGTTGCTTGGTGAGGATGGGGACGTAGGGTACCGGTGAAAAGGAAGGAGGCAGGGAGATGTCGGCGTGTCACACGCGCGCGCACACACACACACACACACACACACCCGCCCGGGCTGCGAGCGGCGTGTTGCTCAGTGTAAGCGGGCGTGCGCGGCTGTCAGTGTGCGTGTGTGTCTGAGTGTGTGATTTGTGTGTCTGCGTCGGCGATCGTCTGGGGGTGGGAGCAGGCGACGGGTCGGGGAAGGGGCTGCGGTCGCTGTCCGCGTGGCCGGCCGCGTCTGGGCTCGGGTGGCTGTCGGCGCCGCCGCGGTCTGGGCGGGTGTCAGGGCGGCCGTGTGGTTTCCCGGGTGTGTGGCGCGGCGGCTGGGTGCCGGCTGCGGGGCCAGATCCTCATTCTGCTCAGTCCTCGCTGCCCTTGTCTTCTCCTCCCCACGGAGCGGCCGTGTGGATCACCGCGGCCGCCTCCGTGTGTGTCTGTGTGTTGGGGGTGATCCCTGGGGACGCGGGGGTCACTGTCACACCTGCCCAGGCGGCGGCGCCGGCATTGCCTCGGGCTCCCCACCCCGGGGGGGGGGCGACTCGGGAGCAATGGCGAGGCCCCAGGGGAGGGGACCGGCAGGGCCTGGCGGCTGCGACCTCCAACCTCCCAGGGGAGGGGCTGCCGCTCGCCGCTCCGCTCTTTGTTGTTTGGGGCTCCGCGCCTCCCCCTCTCCCTCCTCGCGCCCGGAGTGTCAGACTGGGGGTGGGGATGAGCCAACGACGCCCCCCTCTCGCTTTCCTTAGAAACCTCGGAGTGGGGATGCGGCCCCTCCCCCCGGAGCGGGACTCGGAGAACTCCGGGGGCGCTGGGGGCCGACTCCCCAGGTCTATCTAGCTTGTCCCCCTCCCCCAGACTCACACGCCCGCCCCCCGCCCCGCTAGAGTCTCGCGGGCAGTGGAGAGCGCGCAGGCTGAGGGGCCTGGGTTCCCCACCACCCTCGGGGCGCCCCCGCGTTCTTAGCAGAACCCAGAACTAGGGATATGCGGGAATGGCCGGGGTGGGGGGTGTTGTTGATCAGGTTCGCCTCCCCCGCATACACCTGGGCGCAGGTGAAAGCCCTGGGAGGGGATGGGGGAGCCCGGGTTCCGGGAGCCTCCTTTCTGTCTTCCCGGCTCCCCGCAGGTCTGGACCGGCAGAGGTAGGAGAGGGTGCGCAACCGGCCCGGAGGCCGCCGCCGCCCCCGCCTCGCTTCCTCGGCCTTTGTTGCCGCTGCGCCGGGCTCCCCGGCTCTCTCACTGCGGCAGCCGCGGCCCCATAAATCGTGAGAGCGACGTGCTCCGGAGCCGGGAGTGGAGAGGGCCAGGGAGCTGGGGGCGGGGCCGGGCCGAGCCACAGGCTCCCGCGCCCCCTCCCCCCGGTCACGTGAGCTGGTCTCCTGGCTCCCACCCCCAGTCACGTGCGGAGGGTCTCTGCCCCTTGAGGTCACGTGGAGAGGGTCTTGCGACCCCCCCCTCCTCCTGGGGTCACGTGGGAGGGTACTGGTGGGACACGTGCGGCGGCCTCCTTTGACAGACCTGGGGGCCTTGCCCTACACGAGGCCGCCATCTCGCCCTCTGCCCCCCACTCCGTTTGGTCCCCTGGAATAGTGAGACCTTTTTCCAACCTGGCTCAGAAACTAGGGATGGGGGGGTGGGGGACAATACTAGAGGGAAACATGAGAGTGTGAGGTCAAGGGGTCCCCTGAGGCCGGAACTGAAAGGGGGGGCGGCCTTTGGCCGAATATGTGCGCTCTGGCCTGTGCCGTATTTCTTTGCAGAACTGAGCAGAGGTGTTGGTATCCGCCCCTACTCAGGGAGCCTCAGGAACGCCTTTCTCTAGCTGTCTCCCTACCTGTCTCTGTCTCTGAAATGTTTCAGTTCTGATCTTTCATTCATACATTCAGCAAATAATGTATCTAGGCTCTACTGCGTCCACGTTGGTCTGTTTTCTCCCAGTCACTGAGTGCCTTGCGCCCCTGTATTCTCCGCGTCTCGCCGTCTCTTCCCCTGCTGTCAGTGGGCCTCTGTGGACCGGCCTCCACGTCTCTCGGTTCTCTTTCTCTCGGTTTCCGGATCCCTTTCTTTCTCTGTGCCTCAATCCCGTTCCCGGATTTTTCAGTGGATCCGGTCTCTGTTCATCTCCGTTCTCGGGGTGCGTCTCGCTGTCACTCGGCTTCTGTGTGGCTCGCTTTCGGCCGGGCCCTCGCGCTTCTCCGCCGCTGCAGATCAATAAACCTTCGCCGCCGCCGCCGCCGCTGTCGCAGGGAGGAGGGGCCCGGGATGTGGGGCGCGCTGATTCTCTCGCATCCGACGCCGGCAGGAGAAGCCCGGGGTCCGGTCCCGGGATGGCCAGATTCGGCGGGGCCGGGTGCCGAGATCGAGGGCGCCCGAGGGGTGCTGGGGTGTCAGCGTGCACGCGCCGCCCGGCGAGCGTTCCCGCCACCCACCCATTCCCAGCCCCGCGCGCGGACCCCACGCCGCGCACACGTGGTCCGGCCTCGCCTGCTGGAGCGAGCGGCGCGCAGCCTCGGGGGCGCGCGCTAGAGGGGAGGAAAACGGGGTCCGGTGTCTTTACATCCCTCCTCCACTTCCTTAGCTCTGCATCCTGGCGTCTAGAGGTGGGGGTAGGGATTTAACAACTTCAGGGCCCCTTGGGGTCCTTTCCCTACTCCCTGGTCGTTTAGACACCGTTTACTTGCTCTTAATTGCCCGGGGGGGGAGGAGGTTTGCTTCTTCCTGGTCTCCCCGCCGCCCACCCGCCCGGCTCGAGCAGACAGAGCACTGAAGGAGTGGAAGAGAAAGGTGGGAATGTGCGCCGGGCGGTGAGAGCCCGGAGACACGATATAACGGGGTGAGGGGCCACCCCCTCCAGGTGGGGTGTGTCAACACTCGCCTTTCTTTGAGAGAGGTGGGAGGCTAGAAGGGGATGGAGTGAGGAAGAATAGAGAGAGGTTGGAAGGGACTGGCACAACCCAGCCCCCAGATCCCAGCCTGCCCCACCCCCTACTGGGGCGGTTCGGCTCTGGAGGAGGGGTTAGCGGCGAGCTTCGCCAGGCCTGGGGTACCTCCCTCTTCAGTGCCCGGACAGGGAGGATGAGGGAGTCAATGAAAGCACCCAAGCCAGGTAGACACCCCTGCAGTGTGGCTGAGGTTTCCTGGCCTGCTGCCTTTCTGTCCCCAGTCCTCCAGATTCCAACTGGGCACAGTTGTTTTCTCCTATGTGCCCAGCTTGGGGGGCATTTCGGGGGCTGTTCCTGCCACCCAGCCCAGGGATAGGTAAGAGGTGGCTTCTCTCCACCCAGCAAACTTTCTATAAGACTAGTCCCCATCCCGCTGGGGAAACTGAGGCACCTGTAGGAATAGCTCTGGCTTTTGCTTACTCCCTGCTGGCATGGGGTGTGTTGTTAGGGGAACAGGGCAGTGCCCCCAGGGAGGGGCCACTTTAGAGCAGGGAACCTGGGTGAGACTCAAGGACAGAGGGCTGTGTGGCTGCTCCAGACCTGGCCCCCGACCTCTGGTGGCCTCCTCCTCAAAGCCTGAGGAGGTCGACTTCGGGGCTGGGGATAGAGAGGAAAACCTGGAGTGGCAGCTGGGAGCCAGGCCTGGTCTAACTAGTTTTCCTGCTCCCAGCGCCTCAGGCCGAGACTCCTGCCCACCTGAGTGCCAGGGCCAGGGAGGGGCCTGAGTGACCCATCACTACCGTGGGAACCGAGTGGGGCTGGTGACATTCCTGATGACTCAGTGAGGCTGTGCCCATTCTTACCGGGGTGCCCAAGCACCAGCGTTCACCTGGCTGCCTACCTGCCAGGCTTGGATGGGAGTGCTTGGGGAATGGTGGGCAGCACGGCCAAGGCCACGGAAGGAGGGTTAGGTGGGGAGGGACCCTCAAGGCCCCACCTCATGCAGAGGCCTCCGAACTCCTTTCCCTAATTATTGTTTGTGAAACTATGAGGTGCCTGGTGACATGGGGAGCCAGTTCCTCCCCTCCGGGAGTTCTCAGGGACCAGGGACCCCAGTGGTTTGACACTGTCAAGTATCCCATGCCTTCCTGTGTCCCCCACACTCCCGCTCACTGCCAAGATCTGTGCATTCCTACCCTAAGGAAAGGAAGGAGAGCTCCTGCCTTCTGGTCTGTTTCTTTCTCCATTCAGACGTTTCTCCCATCCCCGCATCACTCAGTACCACCGTTAAGACCAGGGCTTAGGTGATGATTGATAAGGCAGGTGGAAATTGCCAGGGACCCAGCGTCTGCTTCTGTGTCCCATAGGAGGCTGGGGGAAGTGAGAGGGACAGCCATCTTGTCTGGGCACTATGCCCACTGCTCTGCCCAGCATCGTTAAGGGGCAGTGGTGCCCAGGTCGAGGAGGGAGATGTAGAGAGGCAAGTTTTGGCTGGTTGATACCACGTGATGCCACGTGGAGCCTTGATATCGAGTCTTTTAGCTCCTTGATCTGTTGTGTCACACATTATTGGGGATCTAATTGCCCATGGCTTCAGGATGGAGGTCAGTGGGACGCAAGGTACAGAGACCAGCGATAGATACTGTAGAGAGGAAATGTGCCAGCGTGTGTAAAATGTGTGGGTGGAAGGGCAGAGAGAAAGAGAGCTTAAGATTGCGGGGTGGGGTGGTCAGCCAATACTGGCACACAAGTCCAGCATATACACAACCGAGCTTTTCTATGTGCCTGCCGCCTAGGAGTGGGCGGTGGACATATTTGTGTGTGTGCCACAGAACTATGCATGTATATGCTTGAAGCCTCCATACATACGTGTGTGAGCGCAGGTCCTGTCGGACTGGCCTTGGGGGTGGACTCGCAGCCAACGGGAAGCATGCAGGGAGAGGTGATGGAGGGTGCGCATCTGTCAGAAAGGATCCCTCCCACCTTCACCCTTCCCATCACTACCTCGAGCCCTCCTCCTCACTGGTGAATTACGGGGGAGGGATGGAGGAAATCCGGGCCTGGGTCTGGGAGTCGCAGGGGCCTGCGCCGTTTCCGTGGCAACTAAAGCATGCGTTCCCTCCTTCCTTCCACCTTTCTCCCCGCCTCTTTTCCTTGGAGGCCGGCCGGGCTTCCCTGCGCCTTTGCTGCCCTCTGGTGGCCGCCAGTAGGAGAGCACGAGCAGCCGGCAAGGAAGGCCAGTGCGAGGTCTGGCGGCACTAGGGCCCTGGGGACAGACAGGGACAGAGAAGAGAGGACGCCCAGAAAAACTGCCGGGAGGCTGGGGGACCCAGGGGAAGGTGTGCGGCGCGGAGAGGTGGGGAGCGGGCTGGCTTAGGGGTTCCCCCTGACCCGCTGCCGGTCCCCTGCAGCCTGCGGCGAGAGGGCTACACGGTGCAGGTGAACGTGAACGACTACCTGGACATTTACTGCCCGCACTACAACAGCTCGGGGCCGGGCGGCGGGGCGGAGCAGTACGTGCTGTACATGGTGAGCCGCGCCGGCTACCGCGCCTGCAACGCCAGCCAGGGCTTCAAGCGCTGGGAGTGCAACCGGCCGCACGCGCCCCACAGCCCCATCAAGTTCTCGGAGAAGTTCCAGCGCTACAGCGCCTTCTCGCTGGGCTACGAGTTCCACGCCGGTCACGAGTACTACTACATCTGTGAGTGACAGCCAGGGGGTGGGGCCCCCTGCGCCGGGGGGCGGGCCGCTAGGAGTGGTACTCCACTACGAGTCGTGGGAACTGAGGACCTCGGGGTTTCAGCTCAGACAGGGTCGTGGGGCTCAGAGAAGGGTTTGGTGGACAGTCTGAAGTCTGGATCGCAGAGTCGCTGTTTCTGTAACCAACATTCCAGGGGCGGCATCTCAGGGGTCGGGTTTCTTAAGGGGTGGTGGACCCACGGGGCTTCTCGGGCACACCGGCGGAGGCCCATGACCAGTGTCCAAAGGGTCAGGGAAGTACTGAAGGAGACTGCCCGGGAGGAGCAGTGGGGGGCGGGGGTGTGAGGAGAGTTTCTGAGTGAGGGCGCGGGGTGCACACCCGGAGAAAGCCACTCAGGCCCCGTCTCTCCTGCTCCCCCAGCCACGCCCACCCACAACCTGCACTGGAAGTGTCTGAGGATGAAAGTGTTCGTCTGCTGCGCCTCCAGTGAGTATAACCGGCTCCCAGCCGCAACCCTATCCTCGGCTCCCCTGCTTTGGGGCTCCCCTGGCTTCCTGGGGGTGGAGGCGGAGGGCACAGGCAAGGGGGACTCACTCCTCAGCCGTAGCAGGGGGAGGGGATCCTGGCCCTGACTCTCCCCTCCTCTCTCCCCACCCGCACCCCACCCCGCAGCATCGCACTCCGGGGAGAAGCCGGTCCCCACTCTCCCCCAGTTCACCATGGGCCCCAATGTGAAGATCAACGTGCTGGGTGAGTGCGCAGCGCCCTCTGGTGGCCACTGCTGGAACCGCAGTCCCCTCCCCGGTGCCTGCTCACCTCGCATGCTTTTCCCCTGAGGACCCCGATCCCTCCTGCCCCCGTGGGTGGTCACGTCCCCGGCTCCCCTGCTGCTGCCGCTGCCGCGTGCCCCCGCCGTGGCGAGCAGCCCAGCCCTCACCAGCCTTCTCTTCCTCTCTCCACAGAAGACTTTGAGGGAGAGAACCCCCAGGTGCCCAAGCTTGAGAAGAGCATCAGCGGGACCAGCCCCAAGCGGGAGCACCTGCCCCTGGCGGTGGGCATCGCCTTCTTCCTGATGACACTCTTGGCCTCCTAGTCCTGCCCCTCCCTTGACGGGGGGAGAGATCGGGCGGGGCGGGGCCAGAATAGGGAGCCTTTGCTCCCTCCAAGGGAAGCCCAGACTGGCGGCCTAGACCCCCCTGCAATGGCTGGAAGTGGGGTCTGCACCATACATCTGTGCCCACCCCTTCTGCCCCCTCCACCCATGCAGAGCACTGTAGTGGACCAGGCACAGGGACGGCCACGGGTCCCAGTGGCCTTGTGGCTCTGGTAATGTTTGGTACCAAACTGGGGGGCCGTAAAGGGCAGTGCTCAGGACTCCCTGCCCCCTGGTACCTTTCTCTGACCCCTGGTGCCCTCCCCCTTTGTCCCCCTAGAGAGATAAATATGCCCCAGAGAGGCCAAATCAAAGTGTGGGAGACACCTCCATCCCTCTCTTCCAGGGGCAGAACATGGGGAGGGGACTAGAGGGGTGAGGAGGTGGCATCGCCCGCCCACTGCCGCCTTCCCCTGTTTACAGCAATAAGCACGTCCTCCTCCCCCAACTCCTGCTCCCAGGATTGTGGTTTGGATTGAATCCAAGTTTACAAGTAGACACCCCCTGGGGGTGGTGGGCAGTAGACATGGGTGACAAGGGGTGGGCATTGGGGTGCCAGGCAGGCATGTACAGACTCTATATCTCTATATATAATGTACAGACAGACAGAGTCCCTCCCCCTCCTTAACCCCCTGACCTCCCCTGACTTCCCCTTCCAGCTTCAGACCCCTTCCCCACCAGGCTAGGCCCCCCCCACTGGGGGACCCCCTGGCCCCTCTTTTGTCTTCTGTGAAGACAAGACCTATGCAACGCACAGACACTTTTGGAGACCGTGAGACAACAACGTCCCCTTCCCTCCAGCCCTGAGCCAGGACCCAGCTCCCAGGACCTGCTCTGCCCACCCTCTGTGGTCCCCACCCATCCTCCTGGGCCTTTTTCAAGTGCTTTGGCTGTGACTTTCATACTCTGCTCTTAGTCTAAAAAAATAAACTGGAGATAAAAATAACTGAGTGTGTGTGATTTCCAGGGGCCGTGAGCCTTGTGTACACTGATTAGACGCCCCCCCACCCCCCACCCCCAGGCCACAGGGTCTGCGTGGGGGAGGAGATTCTAGAGCCAAAGGGACAAACACCTTGTTCTAAGGAGGCAGCTCTGTGGAGGAAGCAACGCCTCCCCAGCGGGGACTGATGGCTTCGGGCAGCTCATTCAACCTCTCTGAGCCTTGAGTATCTCCTCAGAAAACCTGGGTTATAATACATTTCTCTCATAAGGATTAAATGACGGAGTGTGCGGCTCAATTACGCCTTTCTCCTTTCCCTCCCACTCCAGGTTGTAAACCTAGATAGGAAAAAACTCTATCTTTATTTTCACTTGCCTGTAACTGAGATTTAACATTCTCTTATGTACTTGGGCAACAAGCCACAACAGTTAACTGCGCCTGTGACTTCAAAACCAACAGAAATCGCAGGTGTTTTCAGACTGCATTATAGTTTCGGAAGCTCTCTCTCAATAGCGTTTACTCCCAACCCTACATGGAGATGACCGTGGTTGTTAGACCTTCCTTGTTTTAATGTGTTAATAAAGAAGCATATAACTATGCCCCCAAAAAGTGACTGTTTTGATAACTATGTTTCAATATAATTGGTTTCCTTCATAACTTTATTTTATTCGTTTAAGATCTCACGACCAAAGGGCTGAGAGTTTGCTGGTGCTGGGAGTGTAACTACTGCTGCCCCCTGCATCCGACTGGAGCAGCGGTTCTCAACCTGTGGGTCGTGACCCCTTTGGGGGTCAAACGATCCTTTCACAGGGGTCGCCTAAGATCTTCGGAAAACAAAAAGATATTTACATTACAATTCATAACAGTAGCAAAATTACAGTTATAGAGTAGCAACGAAAATAATTTTATGGTTGGGGGTCACCACAACATGAGGAACTGTATTAAGGGGTCGTGGCATTAGGAAGGTTGAGAACCGCTGGTCTGGAGAGTGAGGAGTCAGGGGGAAGAGGGAAGAAGACCAAGGCTCTTCTCAGGGGCCAGGCTGGGTGAGGTCAGAGTTGCACAGTTGGGCACTGAGTGGGGTTGCCAACAGGGCCCCAAATCTACCCAGCTGGCCCCGGGAGGGGGTGTTTATTTTTTTTTACTGGGGAACAGTGTGTTTCTCCAGGACCCATCAGCTCCAAGTCAAGTAGTTGTTTTCAGTCTAGTTGTGGAGAGCGCATTTCAGTGGCCCATTTGGGGGATCGAACTGGCAACCTTGGTGTTATGAGCACTGCGCTCTAACCACCTGAGCTAACCGGCCACCCCGAGGGATGTCTTTTTCTCATTGCCAAGCTGTGCACCGTTGGCATTGCATCACAACCAGGTTCCCTAACTGGCACTGTGTGGGCAGGCTGGGTCCTGGGTGAGTGGCCCTCCTGTGTGTCCTTGTGGCTCTTGCCAGCGGCATTGTGAGAGTCCCTGGGCAGCAGGGACTGTGTCTTCTCCTCCTCTGTACTCATGAGACATGGGAAATGGAATTTCAGCCGGGCCCTGGAGGGTGAGTAGGTTTCCTACTGACAGAGCTGGGAGGAGCGGGGCTGGGAACCAGGAATGGCCAGTGCACCAGTCTGAGGCGCCCTATCCTGGGATGAGGCTGAAAAGGTAGGCTCACCCACCCACTCGACTGTGGGTCCTCCTGATATTGACTACCTGCCGAGGGCCATGCTCCAGCCTGGGTACTGGGGTACGAAGAAGACAGTCTGGGGCCAGCCGAGTGGCTCAGTCGGTTAAGAGCTCGCTCAAGAGTGCAAGCTCTGAGCAACAGGATTGCTGGTTCGATTCCCGGTCTGAGCTGAGCTGCCACTGAGCTGCCAACGGGTGGCAGGATAGCGCAGCTAAAAAAAATAAATAAAAATAAAAAATAAAAAAAAGACAGTCTGCTCTCAGATAAGCTCCTATTGGTTGTCGGAAAAGTAACAATGCATGTTTGCAACAGATGGCGCTAGTTCATTTTTGGAAGTACTAGAGTCATTCGCATCTATGTTTTTGCTATGTCATTTGACAGCTGACAGTTCTAGCTTCATTCTAAAAAACAATTGAGCAGTTAAGAGCTCGCTCAAGAGTTTGAGCTCTGAGCAACAGCGGTTCGAGTCCTGGCCCGAGCTGAGCAGCCAACAGGTGGCAGGATGGCTCAGCTGAAAAAATTAAATTAAATTTAAAAAGAATTGAGCTATTTGGTTGAGTTTTGGAGATTTTACAAGTTGAAGATGGAAGACCAAACTGTGCATTTTTGCCATATTTTACTGTTTTACTTCCATNGTTGAGTTTTGGAGATTTTACAAGTTGAAGATGGAAGACCAAACTGTGCATTTTTGCCATATTTTACTGTTTTACTTCCATAAAGGGAAGAATGCACATCAAGCTTGTGAAAAGTTGCACAAAGTTTACAGTGACAATGCTCTATAAGAACGTCAGTGCCAACGATGGTTCATGAGATTCCGTGCTGATTTTGATCTCAATGATGCTCCTCGGTCAGGGAGGCCCACCAAGGTTCATGATAACAAAATAAAGGCATTGGTAGAGTCAAACCCACGTTACACAACACGAGAGATTGCAGGAACCTTGAACATCCATCATTCAAGCATTCACAACCACCTCAAGAAGCTGGGATACGTAAGCAAGCTCAATATTTGGGTTCCCCTTGAAATCAAAGAAGTTCATTTGATGGTGCATATAAACATCTGCAATATGCTCATTAAACGTGAGGAAAATGATCCTTTTTTGAAGCGATTGATAACTGGTGATGAGAAGTGGATTGTTTGCAATGGGTGTGCATATGATCTTGGTCCCGACGTGATGATTCGCCTCAAACAACATGGAAAGCAGACATTCATCAGAGGAAGGTTATGATCTCAGTGTGGTGGGATTTAAAGGTGTCATGTTTTTCTAGCTCCTACCAAGGAACCAAACAATCAATTCGAATGTGTACTGTCGACAATTGGACAGTTTGAATGAATCCATCACCCAGAAACATCCAGAGCTTGTTAATTGTAAAGGAGTTGTGTTCCATCGCGACAACGTGAGACCACACACAAGTTTGATCACCTGTCAAAAATTATTGGAACTTGGGCCGGCCGAGTGGCGCGTTGGTTAAGAGCTGGCTTGGGACGCCAGCTCTGAGCAGCAGAGCCCTGGTTCGGATCCCACATGAGGGACAGTGACACTGCCCTCTACAGCTAAGATGCTGAACAACAGCTCGACCTAGAGCTGGGCTGCTGTGAGTCACCGGCGACGGCGTAGGCTGCAGCCTCTGCTGCAGTGGGCTGCAATAAGCTACCATGAGTGGCTGGCAGCCAGTGTGAGCTTCCAAGAACCACCATGATCGGCTGTCCAGTGGTCAGAGACCAATCTGCCTCAGCCAGGAAGAGCACAATGATCACAATACCAACATGGGCCAGTGAAGCGA